ATTTGAGAATTTTAAGAGGAAGTAACTAGGTGTGCCGGTACATGCCTGTGATCCCAGTACTTAGGAGGCTAAGAGGTAAAAATATCCCTGGAAGTTTGAGTACAAACTAATGCAAATTTCGGGACCCGTCTCAAAATAACTTCCATTTTTTTTTTTTTTTTTTTTTTTTTCGGAACAGGGGGTTGGACTCAAGCCCTTGCGCTTACCAGGTAAGCACTTATTCTACTGAGCCATTTCCCCAGCCCCCCAAAAAATAATTAACAAAATTAGAAGTGTATAGTTCTAATCAGTGCCATTATATTCTGCTATTCCCATGGAACATTATCCCATTGATTGTATTAGACTTATTTTAAAACTATTTTCCCAACATGTGGGTATCATGCATTAAGCATATTCAATCCCTTAGAAAGTTGTTAGCAAAATATTTTAGAATACTTTAAAAATTATTTCCAAAATAAACCGAGATCAAAGCTCTTGAGAACGTAAGTGACCCATTGTAATTTTTTTTTATTTGTTTATTTAGTGACCTGCTCAGCCCACCCTGGGCTTATCCTACTGAGCCATCTCCCTGGCCCCTATGTAACTGTTTTTTAAATGATAAAAGTGTTTAATATATAGAGGTGCCTGACACCTAAGGACCCACCATATAGATTTGACAATGGATAACAACCTATCATATTTGCTTCACATGAATTTTTTTTAATTTTATTTTTTTTTTATTTTTCAACAAATAATACACTGCATATATTCTTCTTAGTGGTTAATTGCTGTACTTCACATGAATTTTGAAAAAATGAGAGCTCTTCGATAACCTTTTCTTGCTCTTTTAGGTTAACATCACTATTTGCAAATTACAGTAAATAATTACCAGACTTTTTTGGCATTTCATATTTACTTTGAGAAAATGATCATTAATCTCCCATCTTTATAGATTCACACTCTATTTTTCCATTTAGTATTTTCTTTGATCTGAGTAAATCTCTATGTCCTAGATAAAATTAATAGCCTTGATTTAGAATTTGCCTTTGTTGCTTATATTGGATAGGCGGGAGACCTCACAGCAATGCTCCTGCCTCAGCCTCCAAAGTGTGCCACCACAGGAGCTCTTGTTCAGAGATTTGGATAGATGTTTTGCTAAGCATTTTTTAAAGTGCCGAGATCCTTCAGTACATACCAGGGGCCAGGGAGATGGCTCAGTAGAATGAGTGCTTCTTTGGCAAGCACAAGAGCCTGAGTTCAATCCCCAGTTCCACCAAAAATTTTAAAAAAGGACATACCAGTTTCCTTATTACAGACTCATTATTGTTACAGCAACTTTATTACATGAATAAAGTTTTGTGGGTTTTTTTGGTTTTTTTTTTTTTTGAGACAGGTGTCAGTATGTTGTCAAGGCTGACCTCAAACTCACAATCCTGCCTCAGCCTCTTGAGTGTTGAAACCACAGGAGTGTGCTACAATGTCTGGCAGTAAATGTGTTTGTATTTTCATTTTACTTTGGGTAGTATAGTCAAATGTAGTACAGTGTCTAAACACACCTTTTAAGTATTCTAGGTGAAAGCAAGACAGATTTGAAGTGTTATTTATTTATTTGGTACAGGGTCTCACTACACAGCTCAGACTCATAGTGATCCTTCTGTTTTCAGCCTCCCCAGTGCTGGAATTACATGCCTGGACTCAGTCGCTGGCTCAGAATGCCCTGGGGGCAGGGCCGGCACAGCATGTGGGACGGGGAACAAAACCCTATCCCTGTGCTTGCCAAACCAGGCGCTTAGTCCTCTGAGCTATCTCGCCGGCCCTGAAGTGTTATATTTTAGTAAAGAATTATTTTTGTGTCATTGTATAAAAGGATAACCACTAAATTATGCTGCAACTTGTTTTTTTAAATTTCAGATTAAAAAGCAGGAGCTATTTTATGGACGCGAAACACATACAGGACCTATGTAGGACTCCACATTACAAGGGTTGAGGGAGCTCTGATTCCATGAAATTCTACATCTGGCCACTAGAGGGAGAAAGCACATAGAAAAAACCCAAGAGGGGCAGGAACCCAATCACCATTCACTCATTAGACCTCAGAGGAGAGGCTTCTCCTTGTACTAATTTACTGCCCGCTTTTCAGGTAGCTGTCCAGAACACACAAGTGCTCACACACACCGCATGGAAAAGTGGGTGTTAGTGGTGACTTGTGTGTGCGAAGCTCTGGGTTGTGAGCTTCAGTAACAGGAGCTCACTTAAGTTTCAAAAACACTTGCAGATGGTGTTTCTTTATATCACTGAGGGTCACGAAGTATGTATCACATCCAAGGCCAGGCAGCACCTAAGACTCAACACAAGTCCGAGCCCAAAGCTTGAACACGTTTAAGGTCCCTATCATACAGCACTCTGATTTTTATCAAAACTTTGTGTCTACTCCTATAGACCAATGAGACAATAGAAAACTTGACTCACACAAACTGAGTCAGACAGAAATAGATCAGTGTCTGTAAAGGCCAGCAGCTTTCAGCTTTCACGATTATCACAGGGCAGATTTGTGGATATATATCCATATATATCTCTATCTATATGGTTGATAGGTTCTGGCCCTAGTATAAATTGCTAAATCATCATGGTGGTCATGTAATATGGCAGAAGCCCTTAAAACAAAAGCCCAACTTTCCAAGACAACCTCACTTCTTCTCCAGCTCAGCCCACAGTGCAGTTTCCTTTCACCCTTCCCACTGCCTCAGGGAAGACTCCTAAACAGCTCCCTCAGGTATATCTAAACATCCCTTCAAACTCCACCCCTGACAAGACTGTAAGCTCCTCAGCCTCCCTTTGTTCCAAAGGAGAGAATTATCCCTCATGTCCTCAAAGATAATAAAAGCCCCTTTCCCTTTTCCCTTCTGCTTGTTTCTCTGCTGTGCCAGGTGCCTGAAAAAAACCAAAAAACTATATA